ACTGCATGAAACTGTCAATTTCATGCCTTAATGCTATCTTCAGGCCAATGAAGGCATGAAACTGACAGTGATCATACAATGTTGATTTTTATGTCCATACTAAATATATTTATAAATGCTCTATCTCTGATATTGAACACATTTTCCCTTATAAATTTGGTAAATATATTGCTGATAACCATGTTGTTTTACAATTAATGGTTAGTCCTTTCTTTTGTCTTTCTTTTACTACCTTATCTAAGAGTTATTTCAGTTTTCTTTCTGAGTCTACCATCAACACAATGTCACCATGTTAAGCAACATGTCCAGTGATAATAAATTTCGGCACTACCTGATGGAGTCTTTGAAGTGCAGGAAACCAGATAAGATCGACCATCAAGCATGTTAGGATATTAGGCATTTTACCAATGTCTTTAAATGTTACACTTTGCGTGATCCAAAGCTATAGAAGGTACTCAACAATAAATGGTTTATGGTCACATCATGTTGAAACACTGGTTTCCATACAATTACCAAATTTAAGCAACACTGAGCCTGGTCAGTACCTAGATGTGTGACTGCTTAGAAATACCAGGTGCTCTATGCTTGGATGTACAGGTGGTGTAATTGATAATGGCTTAGAATTGTTAATCAGAGAGCCCAATTTCCATTGGGTTCATTATGTCCACTTATATGCAAATACCCTTGGGAAAAGACTGGATCCACCTCTTCTCTCCCCATCTATGGGTTAATTAGAAAGGCTTGTATCACTGAAGAATTATTATCTCAAAAAAAAAATTCTTACATCTAAGAATATATTCTGGCATTAAATAACCAAGTAAAATATGAATGAATGAATCAATCAAAATAAAGATAGTTTAGCACTTGTTCACTTGCAGGTAAATGGGATAGAAGATGCATTGCCACCAGTATGCGAGGAGAATGCAGCCTACAAAATTGGAGATGCAGAGTGGGTGAAAGCCCCACACACCCTCTGCACGTCAAAATTTGGAAAGGGGATGGTGATAAGATACCACAGTTTAGGCTCTAAAATGGCACGGCATCCTGTTGCCATTTTAGGGACCTTTGCTCTGTCAAGAGGGTAGATCATGACAGTGAGTCTTCAGAATGTGAGAGTACAGTAGAGTGCAAAGACAGTGAGTTATCAGAACCAGGAATGATAGTAGAATGCAAGGATTCCACACAAACCCCCAGTGTCACAAGAGATTCCCCCCCCATTCGATTCACCTCAACAGATGATCCTCCCACGTTAAATGCACAAACCTCTTTGGTTCCGCTACAGAGAAACACAAGACAGAAGTGATTGCCCCCTGACTGTCACCTGTGTGATCATGGGATCAGAGCATGGATTACATTGTATGAAATGTGTTCAAGTTGCCGCAGCTGTAGCAGGAAATCCAGTTTGAGGCCTACGGGCACATAGGTACAACGACTGTCATTTTATGAAATGGACATCACACATATGCAAATGTATTAATACCTGCTGCTTAATATATAAAAACCTACATTGCTTGCTAGCAAGGAAAGGGAGCTTTGAAGACAGCGCTAGTAGAGTTGAGAAAGTGGCAAGATGAGAAGAATTAAGACAACAGATATGAAGAGTCTTCTTATCTGTTGTCTTAAATCTTCTCTTCATCTGTGAGGAAATTGTCCAGCATTCACTGCCATATATGAAGACTGACATTATGGTGACTTTCTAAGAATAGCTTAGATGTGGCACAAGGCCGAAAGTATGGGGTGTCCAATGAGTATTGAACTCACTACTCACTCGTAATTGTTCTCGCAAGCTTGTCTTGCTAACCATTACACCACATCAAAGTGTCCAATGATTTTCTAAACATAGGTTAGATGTGGTACAAGGCTGATAGTGTGGAGCGCCCAATGAGGATCGAACTCACTATTCATAAGTAATTGATCTAGCAAAGACAAGCTTGCTAACAATTACACCACGTCAAAGTGATGACTGATATTATGTAGCAATTATACTTTGCTTAGCTTTTGGAAGGCATCATTCATTGTTCCAATGCACCTTTGGATTTTGGTGTTACATTTTCCATCATTTGTTAAAACATTTCACTCCAAGCAAGGTGATAATGCCACTAAGAATTTTTATTTTTCTGGTTTAAATGTTTCTGTATCTGTCTATATTTTTGAGATGAGGTATTATCTACATTATGTCCTCATCTTTGTCACCATATTTATTACAACACTCCGGCCTTCTTCAGGTGGTTGGAATGTCAAACTGAACCCTTTATTTCACTCACTTGGGTAGACTATTCTACCATGTTTAATGGATGTCAGTTATCAGTTTCCTTCTGAAAGTTCTCCACTGCCTTAACTGGGTATTGAACTCACACTCTTTGGGGCCTGTCACTGGATTTAACCAACGCCTTTATCCACTGTGCTAGGTGTCCTTGTGAATGAATTTCTGGGTATTATAAACCTAATGTCTTCAGCAACCATTTTTTACCAGTGCTCATATTGCAAATTTTTGCTGTTATCACTGCATGTTTTTACCAGAGCTCATATTGCAATTTTTGTTGTTATTATCACTTTTCTCTGGCACTCCTTATTACTGGTTCCCATATTTACTGGTTCCCATATTTACAAATTTTCCAATGGTGTTCTTTGTCTATGATCTCAACCTGATCCCACAGAGGGCTGTGATCTCCCTTCTTTCTCCATATGTGGTCAGCCACACCTGATTTTTCTACTTCCCCTCGTGTTACAGCTTTCTGGTGTTCTTGAAACCTTACCTTAAGGGGGCAGCCCGTCTCCCCTTTATATTTCTTTCTGCAGCTGCACGGGATGGAGTACACACAGTGTTTAGTCATGTTTTCCTCTATGGGGTGGGGGGTCTTCCTCAGGAGAGACATCTGCAAAGTGTCGTCAAGCTTTTGAAGGTTGTCCTGATGTTATATGGACCGCAGATCTACCCAGGGTAGTTGTTACATTGTAGGGTACTACTTATACTGACCAATTCTTTATCTAATGTCTCTGGGTCGCCACTTATGACTTTTGCTCAGTGTTGTAAGCAGTGAACGATCCCTTTCTTTATGCTGTATGGATGGTGTGAGTTGAAATTGAGGTACTGTCCGGTGAATATCGGTTTACAGTATACGGATGTCTTGAACCCATGCTCTGTTCAAGATATTAGAACATCCAGGAATGGAAGTGTGTTGCTACTCTCTTTCTCCATTGTGAACTGTATTGAAGGTCTTATTGAGTTCACATGGTCCAGTAGAACCTGAACATCTTCCTGGTGTGGCCAAAGTATGAAGGTGTCATCTATGTACCTTAACCATATAGTTGGCTTTAGAGATATAGATTCTAATGCCATGTCTTCAAAGTATTCCATGTATATATTTGCCATTGCTAGTGATAATGGCAAGCCCATTGCTAAGCCCTCATCCTGTCGATATATGTGTGATCCCATTCCGAAGTGTGTTGGTTGTGTACAGAAAGTCAACATCCCCATCAGATTATCTATTGCACACTTTTCTTTATTTTTGATATCTTCTTATCTTTCTCAGTTTCTGAAAATCATCTTTCACTATTCGTGTGCACCTTTGAATTTCTGAATCACACTTTACATTATTACACTGCCCAGATTGTTGAATCTTCACACTCATTTAATTTTGATGTCCCCAATATGTAATCCACATTTTGCACAAGCCCTTTTGTTCACCACCAGTCATTTTATCTTTATGCAATTAAGGGTCAGTCCTTTTTTGCTTTCCAATTGGAATTATTTTGATAATAATATATTTCAAATATTTTTATGTTTACTATTAAATTATTATTAACATTTCCTTTTATTTGTTTTAGTAATTTAGTTTTTCTGAAATACTTTAGTGATGCTGTATTTGAAAATTAATAGTAAGTTTACTTAAATTTTTTCTAACACAATGGATTATTGTCATCACAAATTTTTTCTCCAGTAATACTAAAATATTCTAAAATAAATAAGTTGAATATTGCTTATGCAGAAAACATTCAAAATTTTCTGTAACAGAAAGTCACACTAGCTCCCTTTCTTAAAAAATGGCTAGTTTATCAAGAAACTGAAATTATGTTTTCTGAGAGATTTTTTAAATTTAAAAAAGTAAGATACTGCTACTATGAAATAGTAGATAATTCAGTTTTTGAAAATGTATCAAGGGCTTTATACATACAATTGTAAAAAAAATTGTTTAAAATAAGTGCTTCAATTTTTTCCTAGTTCCTTTTTTTTATTAAGTGTTAAATACTTTAAATTTTTTATTTAAAATATATATGCAAAGCATCTCATTTAAAATGATTTTAGTTGCAAGCTTTTAAAGATTATGTTATTTCATGCATAATTAAGTTATAAAGGGCCTTTATTGTCACTAGTCGTAAAAGAGTGCATCCATCAACATTTAAATTGTCACATATTTTAGGTAGGATAAAGAAAATGATTTTATAGGGCAGTGATAAATAAACAAGTACGGTTATTAATGTTAAAAACTAATTTAAAAACATAATCACTCAAATAAATAAAGTAACTGCACAAAAGAAGAAACAGAAATCTATATTAAATTGAAAGAAATAACATAATTCGAAACAATTTTGTTTAGTGTCAAATAAAAAAGTGTACGCAGCAACGGATTAGTAAAAGGCGCTACAATTTTAAGGTGGATATCTTAGACATAACTAATTGATCAGAACTTAGGTTATTTGTAAAGCCTCTTTACTGATAAAAACGGCGTATCTTGTTAAACTAAAATTGGATATACGTATAAAGCTAAATTTCAGTCGCAACCAATTTTGTAATTGCTTAACTTAAACTCGAGTCTTTTGTTTGAGTGTTTTGGATTAGTCATGTTTATCAACCAGGCTTCGAATACATCAGGCTGCCATATTGAAATGGAGGTTTGAAGTTTGAAAGACAGTAAGAGAGATAATTCTGTTTTGCTCTGTTTATAGCCCCTTTAGCAATCATTTGTGTGATTTTTTGAAAAGGGAAAAAAGAACCAAAAATGGGGCGATCAAGAAGTCGAAGCAGGTCCACGAGTCGTACGAGGCACCGTGCAAAACACAAGAAAAGGCGCACAAGGTCGCGGTCTCGGTCTGCGTCTAGAGATCGCGTGCATGGCACAAGTCGACATCACAGCAGAGCGCAAAGATCCAGGTCGAAAGATAGAAAAAGAGCTGCCAGGTCTGTTTGTTTTATTACTTGCAATAAATATATGCAACATTTAAAAGATTTTTAAAACCTATCTGCTTTGCTTATATATATATATATATATATATATATATATATATATATATATTTCTTCTTTAACTTTGATCATGAAATTAATAATAATAATGCGAAAAAAGCTATCATTCGGCTTTAGTATCGCTTTCTTGAGTAAAAATCACATACCACCATGTTTCCCCATTATTTTTCTTTTTAGATCCATTCTTTGCTTAAAAACTGTTTTGTTATATTTTCGTGATTATTTTCGATTGGTCTTTGTGGAAAAAATATATAAAAATAAGTCAGGCTCAAAGAAAAAAATATAACTTAAACTAGAAACTAAGTCAATTAAACCGAAACGTGTTTACACACATGTAGCATTGTATTTTAATTTTTATCATTAAATTAAAAATTAGTTTTGAAAATCGTTTGGTGATAAAATAAACTTTGGATTAAAAATTGATCTGATTAATCAAAGAGTCAGTGTTCTTCGACGAGGTAGACATCCTCTCTGTATTTAAAAAAAAGAAAAAAAAAAAAGAAAAAGATACATGAAAATTGAAAATGAAATGGATGCTACTCTATTTCGATTTTATTTTTTAAAATAAATCAAATAAAAATAAATTTGTAGCGGAAAATTAATAGTTTATGGAATTTCAAATAGATTAATAATCCGAAAAACTACCGTAAATAGGCGTATCCAGAAAACGAGCCAAGTAAGTAATAAATGGCTTAATTTTTTTTTTTGGGGGGGGGTGTTAAAGATGTTTTAAAAACTGAATTTAAGATAAAGGAAGAAAGGTAATTAAATTTAAATGCCTGTACTTTCTACTATAAATAAATTGGCTTTGAACAGTAAACATTTTTTTTCATCTTTCTTTTTTTTCTTAAAAAAAAAAATGTTAGCTTTTATGTTCTTATGTAGTTTATTTCACAGCAATATGCTCGATTTGGGGGAAAATGTGTTTATTTGTGACATTCCAACTTTACTTTGAAAGGCATAAAAAAGTTAGTCTTTAAAGGCTCTTCTTCTTTAAGGAAAAGTAAAAAGAAAAAATAGACATGCCTTTTGCAGCCCAAACTTTTGTTTTGAAAACCTAATCGAAGTATGTGATATCCAATAAATGATTGATATTGAAAAAAATCAAACATTTACTTGGATTTGATAAAATAAATTAAAAATTAAATTGGTAAACATTACTTACTTCTTCTTAATCTTTATAAATTTAAAATATCTTTTGAAAATGATTACTTGAAATTTAAAAAATAGTCTTATTTATAGTAAAGTTAAAAAGACTTTGATGGTGATTTTTTTTTTATTTATTTTTTTTCTGTTATTTGAAATCCGTCTACTAAATTACTTATTTACATTTTTGTGTACTCACTTACGAAGGCTAGTGTTTGTAAAATAATGTAAACTTTAACATATTTTACTGCATAAAATAATTATCCTGGTAAAAAGAAATGATTCAATAATAAATTGTATAATTTGATACTAACGGTAACTAACCGTACCTTGTTGCTTGTTTCACTTGTGAGGCAAAATAATGAGACGATGATGTTAGTGACAACAACACAACCATCATCATCTCCAGTGCCCCTCCATGTCTAATACACATATGTACATGTAAGAAGAATTGTTGCTAATTCATATCTAATGCTTATGAAGCTACCCAAAGATTGTCGATGTTTTAGAAACATAATTCCTGGCAAGGGAGGAAAATAAATTGAATGTTAAATGATTGCATTCGTAAGAAAAGACTATTAAAAACAAAATAAGAATACCGTTCTTTATTGTGAGATTTTTTTGCCACTGTTATGTCATTATTATTATAATTTGTATTAATTGGTCAACGCAACGAGTTTTCAATAAATGAAAGCTTAAACATTCTTTTTTTTTTTTTTTTTTTTTTTTTTTTTTAGGTATAGAAACTAGGTATCCCCTAAGATTTTCTATAAAAAAATGCATCCCATGATAAAAAAAGGCCCTAAATTTGATAAAAAGTCAAGTTTTATCCTCAAACAAAAATGTTTCTTAGACCAAAGTATTTTTTTTAATTTTATTAAATTTTTTAATCCTTTCTAGCATATTCGAAATTGTTTAGAAATCCTTGTTTTTCTTGTATCAGGGATGGCAGCAGCGAAGATTATTGGAAATTTTAACGTCTTATTTTTATTTTTTATTTTTTTTATCGTTAAAAACACATTTGGAAAATTTTATTTATATTTCATAATTTATTTTCTTTTTCATAATCAAACTGGAAAAATATCCATTATGAATATTTTAAGAAAATTCATTGTGTCAAGAGATTTCTCTAATTTTACAAATAAAAACTAGGAGACTCTTTTGTCAATAACTTAAAATTATAGAAGACATTAAACATAAGTAGCTGATGATGATGCATAGACTAATCTGCTGATGCTTTTTCAGTAATAATAATACACATTAGGTTACCTAACAATTTTATTATACCTAAATAAAATACATTTTTAAAGAGGATTAGAAATCGGATTACTAAGAAAAGAAAATGCCGTCCAAAAAAATATTGTGTGCTTGTTATGGGACCAAATTTCTATGGTTAATAGCACCCTGGAACATATTTTTAGCTTATTCGAAATTTATGAAACTTACATTATGTGGGGTTGGATTTACAATGTATGTATAATGCTAAACTAGACTATTACATAGTACTGCTCAGTTAAACTGAATTTTTACCCTTTTTTAACCATATAACATCTAATTGAACATTTCTGAACCAGAAACCAAAGTTGTAAATATTGAAAATAAAGATTTAAAAAAAAAAAAAAAAAAAATTGTTGCCGTCTTGATATTTTTGAGTGAGCTGAATAAATTTATGGTCAGTTAGGTACTTTTGTGAATCCCCTCCTCCCTAGTTATTTAAATTAAATATGACCCAAGAATACATAATGATGTTGATTTTTAAATAAGATTTGATTCAGTAAATATATAGTTAAAATCCATGATCTAATAGAGGCCAAATACCCTATTAGATGTTCTGTATTGAACAAGACAAAATAGAGGTGATAATTCATCCTGTAATTTAATGTTAAAATAAATTTTCTTGATATTTTAACAAATAATTAATGTTTTTTAACACACTTTTCATCTATTGCAGAATTTGTGACTTTGTTTTCTCATTACTATTGTAAATTATTTGCAATATTTCGTATTATGATATACTGATTGATGATTTTTCTATTATGTAAGTTTATTAACATGTACAAAATCTGCACTAATCTTAAACACTGAGTTTTTAAATTATACTTCCTGTTTGTACTGAGAAAAATCCTTTATTTAAAAAGCAACTCAATTTTTAAGCTCAAATAATTGAAAAATATATTTTATGCTCAACCTTACTTTCATGAAACGTCAACTATTGGTGGGGGGGGAGAAAGAAAGTAATGTATAAATTTCTCACCAATTGGTTTTAATGAAAGTTTTTGTAATCTTAATATGTATAACAAATTAGATCATGTGATAAGTAGGCACTTCCATGCACTTGAAAAGATCACATCATTAAAAAGGTACAAAATTTGTAATATGTTTATTTTATTATAATAATCTATGTATTATTTGAAAGAACATTGGTTGGGAAAAAATCTTATATAAAAGAAAAATTGTATTCAATGTATGGAGAGTTTTGTCTATGAAGAGTTGTTTACATTTTAAATGCCATTTACCTGAAGAAATAACAGTGGAATATTTTAGCTTAAATTTATATATATATATATATATATATATATATATATATATATATATTTTTTAAGAAAAGACAAAATATGCTAATTATTGAACTTCAATAAAATGTTACATATTTATTTATGAAGAGGGAATTTTGTAAAATCTTTCTGAAAATTATTTCTTAAGCCAATCCCACATTATTTATATTTTTATAAAGATAGAAATTAAATCAGTTGAAAGTTTATTTAAAACTTTAGCAGAAGATATAGAAAATATATCCTGAATTGGAAAATAAAAACTAGAATAAAATTAAAATATTTAGTTTGGAAAGTTTTTAGCATTTTTAAAAAATATCTACTGAAAAATTATTTTAAAAATAATTATAATTCATTTAATTAAATTAATAAATATTTTTAACATTTATACTGATATTTTGATTTTAATCTATGGCAGGAACACTGAAATATTTCTTTTATTTTCTTGATTGTCTCTGTCACCCCATGTGTGCATATGATTCTTATCTCTCCTTGAGTGAAGACCTTTTAATCTTCTTTACAAGCTTGTTGTTGACAAGACTTGTATGCACAAAGAAAACCGGTTTCTGTATGTGTTTTTGTCATTTTTGTTGTTGTCCATATTTCAAGGACAATATATAAATTATTGCAATACTCTTTAAAAAATGTTTGAGACCTTATAGCAGTCCATGCAGACATAAAGTTTCTTCAGCTTAAGTAAAAATAAGAGCAATTTTTAAAAATATTATGATGTAAGTTTTATTGAGCAACATATTTCTTGTCTTGCTCTATCTTTCAGACAATTTCATTATTTATTTCTCCTTAGAAGTTTATCTTTTTTGGCCAAAACTTACTCTAGGTGCCTTTTGTGATCTTTCAAGGAATTTGAGCTGTCTTTTTTATTAAGAGATTAAAGAATGAAATAATTAATCTGAGGGTGCAGTATCAGTTGGTTGAGTGAAATGAAAATTTCCTAGCCTGGTCATCAAAGAAATATGTGGATTAGTTTATTCTGATGAAATATTATGCTTGTATTTCTGTTTCACCAATTGTTGTCTTTAATTAATTTAATTTGGAGCAGTATGTTCAAATGAATTGTTTAGAGCTTATAATTGAAAACTTTCTTCCAATCCCACCAGCAACAACTTGTTTTGGATGAAGACTGGCCTTTGGTATGATTAGTGGTGGTTCATTTGTGCTTCATTTGCCCACAATCTTTTGAATTCCATGTTGTAAAGTACCCTATCTTTAATTCCTGTCACAACTTATTTTAGAAAAGTGATAAAGTGTACAAAGAAATATGGTACTATTTTATTTTTTTCTCCAATTATGTGGAGATTACACATCAAAATAACTAATGCTGGAAATCATTTTATAATGGTTTATAAATCATTATAAAATGATTTTTAACATTTAATTTATATATCTTTCCCACTGTATAAAGTTCCTTATTCTCAGGTAATATCTTTATTTAATTACTTATCAACTTCAACTGGTCTACTTGATCATAAAGCAAAATATTTAGTGAGAAATCTCCAGCATGAAGCCTTGCAAGCTACTTCTGATACTACCTTTTTCATTAACCCTTATCTTTTCTTTTTTGTTAGAGTAAAAAGAAGCATATTATATTGAACATCTTTCATCTTCAAATTTACAATCAATAAACAACAAAAACTTGTCAATTTTGAAAAAAGCTTTTTAAAAATGCACACAAATACAAAAGTTATCACAATGCTTTCAAAAGTGATCTTTTTTCTTTCTTTTCTTTTTTTTTTTTTTTTTTTTTTTTTTAATGAAAAAAATGTATTTAATGTCATCTTATGACAAAGCAAATAAACATTTTTGAACAATAGCTGCAATGCCATTAGTTCCGAAATAATGTTTATTGAAGGGGCCAGATTTTTCATTGAAAGTCTGATTGACAGCAGTAAAGATCAATCACTGCTGGTAACTTGTATTTCATGCATATGTATTATCTTTATAAATCCCTTGCATAACAGAAGGACTTGGCAGTCTAGGAAAGATTTTCATGTTTGTGCCAAGTCAGTGGTGTTTGTTTTTTTTGCTTTTTTTTTTATTTTATTTTTAATGAATCTATGATTCTTTTTTTCTTTTTTTTTCTTTTTACTGCTTTTATATTTATTAAAGATTTTGTACATAAAATTGCTGAAAAATAACATTTCTATGAAGATCTGAAAACTTTGTATTTGAAAAATATATATTGAGATAATGTTAGTTTTTCTTGAGCTTATCATTTTAATATATCTAAGATATCCATTCTCTTGTGTCCTGAAATCTTTTGCATATGTTTCATTTTAACAGACTTCATTTGCAATTATTTATTTGTCAAATTACTAAGTGCAAGTTGATGCTGACATGTTTCTATTTCCAAGAATGATCTTTCATTTGTATCATCTTTGAGATAATCTGATGTTGAATAACCAATTAATTGCAGATTATGGAAACTTCTGTCATAGCAATTCTAAGCTTCAATTGAGAATGACTTTTTTCTCAGTGTAAAGCAAAAAAGAAAAATGGTAGCAAACATATTTTAAATTTCATTTCATTTTAAGTTATATCAGTTACTCTATTATTTTTCAAATATATGTGCAGTTTGCTCCAATATTTAATGTGGGGAGATTTTCAAATTTTTTGTTAAATTCTCAAAACAAAGATTTTGAGAATGTATCCATGGTTATACAGGTTTTATTGGATCATGTGAACTCATTTAAATCTACTGTATAAATTCACAATAGACTGAATCTTATAATTATAAAAAAAAGTTACATATTTTGATTACTTTTAAAGAAATGTTTTATATTTAATTTTTTTTATAATATCTGCTGATTTATTTAAAAATATTTTCAAAGTTGCTCTTATTTTTTTTCTCAGTTCTACATAAAATTATCCCTATTTTGAAGCTTTGTAATTTATGACTTTTTTTTTCTTTTTGCTGGATTATGGCACGACTGAGTATTTTAAATATATTATTGAATGATTTATCCTAAATTTATCTATTAGTTGTCTGCAAATGGTTCCAGATTTGTTTTATTTTTTTAAAAATTGGTTTTCAGCTGTGTAGTTTTACAAAAGACATTGTGCACTGGGAATTTTTGCACATTGAATAAAATCAAATTAATTATTTTTATCACATTTGTAAATGTTTGTTTTATATCTTATATTCAAATAAGGAATGATGTTGTGTTGACGAGTTATCTTTCTTTCATCTATTCTATTTTCAACATTGGAATTGGCTTTTAAGAATATCAATTTACTGTAGAAGTGATTTCTTTATTTTTCTTTCCACGGTATCTATATGAAGTGTTATTGGTTTGGTTTTATTGTTTAATGCCACTATCTCAAGCAGCTGCCTATTAATCTGCAATACATTTAGAACTAGTAGTGCAGCTTGCATAAAAAGCTGATTTCACAAATTTCTCTTGAACTACAATTTTCAGGAATTGAAATTAAACATACTCTAAATTATGGTATTTACAAAGCAAAGTGATCATAACATTGACTTGTGACTTTTTCCAGAGCTATTGTTTTGAGTGTAATCACTATTTATTTTTTATAGCTTTTCTTTTTTATGTTAATCTAATTTGTCTTTGTTCTTTCTTTCTTTAATAGGCGACGTTCATATTCTTCTAGTAGTTCAAGTAGTGATGAAGACCTTATTATTCGTGCCAAAAGAAGAGAAGAAGAAGAAAAAAAAGCAGAGATGGAACGGCAACGAATATTGTAAGTATTCCAATCTTTATATCAGTATCTAATAGCAAAAATAGGTGACTGGATGTTTCCAGTAAAATCATTTTCCAAAATTGCATGTTTTTTATTTATTTTTTTATTCACTTATTTTTTTACTTGCTACTGGTAGCTTCTTTTGAAGTTGCTTGCTTTTCTACTTTGATGAAAGACTGATATGTTTTGTAGTCTTATGTCTGGCCAGTTTCTAAAAGACTAAAATCCCAAAGCAAATGTATTCTACTACTACATGATATCCATTTTAATACTTTGATTTTCTACAGTTTGCTAAATATTTATATATTACTACAAATAATATTTCTTTTTTTTTTTTTTTTTTTTTTAATATCTTTTACCTTTACTCTCTATATTAATTATTTAGCTTCATTTTTATTTTGAAATTGAACCCTATTAATTTATATTATATAAGATATTGCTGTTAATAATTACTTTCTTTGAACTAATATCCTTATCTTTTTTTTTTTTTTTTTTGATCTCTTTTCAAACAGATTTGATTACTTTTATGTGTGATGCTTTATATTCTTAGAATTTCTTGAATTCACTTCTATGTGATTGCAAAAAATCATTAACAAAAGTGTAATGTTCTCAATTATGAGACCATTGACCACATCATTAAAATGTAATTAGGAGACAATATGAAATAAAATAAAGTTGTACATATGTAGTTCTTACTTTCTTTTGTTGTGAAATATGTTTTCTAATTTACACTAAAACAAAATCCATAGTTTTCAAATCATATAATTTATTTTGGTTCTAAATTATCTGACAGTTAAATAGTCATTTCACTTTTCAGCTTAATTATGTTCAGGGGTACAATTTTGATTTTCAGTGAAATTGGTGGGTAAGATGAAGTAGGGCCTATGCCAGGATGGTAGAAAGAAATGCCAACATTTTATTATGAAGCATAACATCTGTAACCATATTGAATAATTCTAATTGTTTGGACAATAATTTAATATCAAACCTAAAGTAACTTAATTTTTAGGTGTTATAAATCTTGATTGGAGTGATTCATGAAACTACCAAATAAATAAAATGTGAATCTGTTTTTATTTCATAGTCATGATAATGTTGTTTCACTCCCTCCCCTTTTCAACTGTACTATAAAGAATCAAATGAATTCCTTTTAAGTAAAATATTTCCTGTGTGAATTTTTTTTGGCCTATCCTTTGTTTAATTTTTTCCTTCTTCAGGTAGAATTTTTATCAAGTCTGCTTAGATATACAGTTTAAAAAATAAAAATCATTAAAAATTATTAATAGATCAGATTTCTTAATTATCACTTTACAAAAACCAACAACCTGTTCATATATGCTAACTCTTGATTGGGACCAACTAAAGAAAAAAAATTTTGATCTTAGAATACTCAGTGAAACTTGGCAAAAGGGAAAGGTCTAAGTACTGTAATATATTGTATTTTTATGAAATTTTTTAGCTAAAACCCCAATTATTGTCCATTTGCCACTGAACAGCACAAATAACTAATTTTCATTATTCATGACTTTAATTTCACATGTGAAATTTCCATATTAACTGACCTTTTTTAGAATGATGATATTGAAACGACAAAGACTACTTCAAGTAAATGAAAGATTACTCCATTCCCAATTAGAAATTCTCTATGAATTAAAGTTCACTTAGTAATTCTATTTTTGCACATTGTTTGCTTATTTCTATCCTGTATCATACACAACACATACTAAATATCTTAACAACTACCATTCTAATAATTAATATTGTATTGCTTTGTACAGACTCTAATATTATTAACATTATAGTCTGGATTTTAAAGACATCAGTATGTTTTTAATACAAATCAGATTTTTACTGCATTAATTGGTTTTCATGTTAAAACTCTTGTTCTTTATGTTACTTAGAAATCTGTTATGTTGAACTTGCATTAAATAAACTTTTATTTTCTTCTCTCTAATAAAGTCAGTCAAACACTGACACAGCTATATCATACATTATACTTTACTTCAGTTTTTAACTGTTAGTACCACCCATTTCTTAGTATACTAGACAAAAACTGGACATTTTACTATCAAAATGATATCTTTAACATTTTGATTAGTTTTTGTTTATAAACTAATATTTTTTCAGAATTGAAAAGATACTTTTTTTGCATATGTGGGTGGAGTTTTTTTAAAGGCTGCAAATACAGTATTTGTAAGTACAAAACTAATCAGAACTGGCTATAAATTTTAATAAATTTGTGAATTTTAATAAATTTGTTGACTACAAATTCTTGATAGAAACAAATTTTGTAATGCATAAATTAGATATAAAATCTTATTTAATAAAATTAATCAAAAAATAATTTCAAAGTTTAATACCAGTTTTAAAGTTTTGATAGTAAATCTTTTTATGCTTATTTTTAATTGAATTGATGAAATAAGATTTTAAGTCTTTCAAAAATGCTGTTTTGAATATATAAAAGGAAAAGAATTGATTTTCAATATTGGTTATTGGCTTGGGTTTCAAAATTTTGTGTCATTGATAAAATTCTAATATTTTAACTTCATACTACTACTCCATTTGTGTTCTCTTTTTTAATTGCAAGATATTTTAAGTTTTAATACTTCCGCCCATTATAGCATTGGTATAATTAGATAAGGTGAATGTGATAATGTCTTTTTCTAATATTGAATCAAAGTGGAGTGCATGAAACAATAACATTACATTTAGAATATATTTTAGAATGGATTCTAATTTTTTTTTCTTAAAGTTTACTCCTCTTTTTTAAACTATTCATTTTGCTTATGTACTTTGTCAAAAAAATAATTTGTATTCTTTAAGGTAAATTAATGTGAAGTCTTGTAACTTGAAGTATAATGTATGAATTAACAACCTAAATATTAGCAAAATGTATTTTAGAAATTTTTCCTATTGTATCAAATATATTCACAAACTGAATATACAAAAAGAAAATAAGTATAGCAAGCATACACTAGCATATCCACTCCTTCTCACCTTTTAACATGCCTTTGTCTTTGAATTGTATACCTTAATCAGTTATAATACTTAGGCTGGCTGGGAGCATTTCATTCATATTGATTTTGAGTTTTCTCAAAAGGTAAGTGTTTTTTTTTTTTTTTTTTTTTTTTTTTTTTTTTTTTTTCTTTTCTTTAATACAGATCTTGCAGAAAACAAGTGCCTTGGAACCTGTGACAAAATTTGAAGCAACCTGGTAAAGAACTCAAAATGAAAAATCTTAATACTTTCACAAATAAATGTGCTGAAAATATTTGGTCTTAAAATAAATAAATAAATAAACAATAAATTGTTATATAAAATACTCTTGTACAAGGAATGCCATGAAATAAATTTATATGGCATCCAAACATCATTATTTCCAGGAATGTGATTATTTTTCAGGTTTTCAGTTTATTTTGGTTTTGCAATTTTGATCATTTTTTTAATTCAAAAATTACAAATGTATTAATTTTATGTAGGCAAATCACTGAACATGAGTATGTATTCATTTATTTTTTTTTATTTTATCTTCTGCTGTTAAATGTTTTGCATATATTTATTGACAGCACTGTATAATAATAAAGTTAATTTGAAAAAGATTGGTATTTTTCAGTCTCTAAGAATAAACTTTTTAATCTATATTATTAATTTGAACTTTATTTAAATTAGAGAAATAAACATTATTATTTGCATTTATGGACATGAAAGAAGTTTTTTTAATTTTCTTTTCTAGCTTAATACAAGAATTATTTAACCATTTTCCATCTTCACTTATCCTCCAACAACTCATTTTAGGAATATTTACCATAATCATGTCTTGTTGATTGGATGCTAGCATGAAAAGTTTCCAACATATCTCCTAATCTATATTATAAAAGAAGAGCCGATTATCTGTCCAGCGCACTTTGTTTGTGTGTGACTTTGCATGTGTGTATATCTGTGTTGTGCATGAGTGACTAACACGTGCTTGTGCCATTTAATATACACAAGCATGCATACACACACATACACTGTGTTGATTGAATTTTATATAAGATATTGGAATAATACATTCCACGCTTTTGCTCATTATGGACAAATCCCTACACTGGGGGAACAAAAAAATCAAAGTTCAAGATAAGGATAAAATAAATGTTAATTTATTTTAAACTCAAAAAATCAGATGAAATTATTAGATTTTATTGAACTTTTCAGAAATTTTTGATACTAAATAAAATTATTTTTAAATTTTTTTTTTTTTTTTTAATTTTATAGAAATATTTTTAGGTATGTTATTGAATTAAAATAGAAATGCACACATACAAACGTACATACATATATGGTCATGAGGATTAGTTTTCCTTTCTGTCTGGCAACAATTCCTGGGTAGCAGGAGAAGAGTATAAACCAAAATGTTTGGCCCTTTGAAGTCATTTTTAAGAATTCTTCTGTATTTAAACTGAATATATTTTCTAATAAAGGTAGTATTTTAAATGGACAAAGAATTTAGACTTGAAATTTGATCACACCTTGCCCATCAGCAAAGTAACAAGTATTGAACTAATTTTATTTATTTTAATATAGTGTTGGTATAATTAAACATGAGCATTGTCAAATTAATTCTAAAAAATTATTTTCAAATAATTAACAAAGAAAATATATCAAGTGCATCAGAACTTCTGTTAAACAGGGTAGCTGGATATCCAGCAGTAATCTAATGCATTTTTATAAAAATATTTTTAATATATCAAAAAATATTGAGTTCCTTTTAAAATCGACATCAATTTATTAGAGAAAATGTTCAAAGAAATCTTGTAAACTTATTGTAAAAATCAGTTGTTTCTAGTATTGTTACTTTAAAAAGGTCTAATAATGCAAACAGTTGCATATGCAAAAATCATTTGTTTGATTTTTGTAAAATAAAGCTAAATCATTAGTTGATTTAAAGATTATTATCTAATAGAAAATTGCAATTAGTTTTTATATGTAAGCTAATTGATTCCTTTTTACTGTGGATTTGTTTGATATCATGATATTGGCCTATGACTGGAAGAGTTGTATGCTACTTTACTCTTATTATTAATATATATATATATATATATATATATATATATAGAATATAACTTTAAAAAAAATGTTATTACCTGATGAATCAACTGACTATATTTGATAGTTTTGATTTACACATTAAAGAAAAATGTGATAATCTCTTTGTATACAGATATACAATTTTTATTTAGAAAAATAAAGTTTTTAAGAAAATATCTTATTTTAGTTTTAAAACTTGTTTTCATTAATTACAAATAATCTGTTTGAACCATAAAACTTAATTAAGTCCCTGCTTCAAACTTTTTTGATAATAATCAGACAGTCACAATATTAGCTATATTATAGGCTCTAATGATAAAATTACAATGTTTCTTGTCTTACTGACTACCAATGATCGTGAACAATCCACAATAAATATGGCTGTGTTGCTGGCCAGGTGAGGAAAACAAAAAGTTTACTAACAACATCTTTCTTATAGTCTTATAAGTAGTAAATTATCTTTTTTAAAATATTTTAAACAAATTCAACAATTTTCTGATTTATTCAAATAATTGGTAAAAATATATAAATTTATTCAAATAATTGGTAAAAATATATAAATTTAGTCATTGGCTTTCTTGAAATACATAAAATATTTTTATTTGGTTAAAGTTAATGAGATAATTAGAATGAAAATTATCTTGAAAACTAAACAGTTTAAAATTTGCATAACTCTTAGTTGACTTTAGCTTAATGTTTTTATTGGTTACTCAGTTCTTAGCAGTTTTAGGTCAATTATATTGTGTGGGGGGGGGAGTTGGTTGATATTCCTGCTCAACATTAAGTTTTATAACAGTAATGTTTTATGATTTTATTTGTATCAGAGAGACAGTTTTTCATATAAAAATTAATGTATTTACAGTCACAATAATGAGTTTTGAGTTTATTTAAACTGGTAAGAAATAAAATAAATTGATATAACTGACTGCGGATATTGTTTTCCATGCATTCACTTTTTACGGTATTTTGTACAAAGCTTTCAATAGTAAATGTATACTCTGTTACTTCCAGAACGTAGCATGTAAAATGCAGGTCAAGTTTATTTCAGTATTTATAATTCTCTCATTGTATCAAGTGTCTGTTTCATTATTAATATCTTAGCAAAATAATGTCTAAACTGATTTGTACTATGCTGTATTGGTTCAGGATTCTTTCTAATATGAGCTTACATTTACGTTACATCTGTAATTTCTACCATATTTGATTTGAGTTTTAATGGCAAATTGCAGCAAACTGATTTTTTTTTTTCTTTCTTTTCAAATCAACATGATGAAAAAGAATGTGAATATTAGTCCACACAACTTGTGGAATTAATGTAATCTCAATTTTCAGTTAATATTTACAGATTTAAATCTTTGCTAACATTTAGAATATTTTATTTTTGTACTTTTTGGTTTCAAAATTATTTATATTTTATGAAAAATTAAACAGAAATTATGTGTTTTCTATCAAATGCTGAAACTTGTTTAATATTTGAAATTTCCTTGATGGATGTGAATATAGGTCAATGGGATCAAAGTACTTAAGTGTAGAAAAATAATTATTTAAATTTTTGTTAGAAACCAAGATTTATTAACTCTTGAACATATACATGGCGCAATAGATAAGTTGTCATCTAAATTATGCAAATGAAAATAACACTGACATTTCATTTTACCAGATATATTTACCAAAATTACACAAAAATATTTTGAAATACTAAAGAGTAAATTTATTCAATAAAATAAACCATTGGCTTCAACCACAGCCTCCAGATTTTTAAATCTCCTGTAACTCCTTCTGGATGGTCTCTTTGTTTAAGTTGGTGAATGTTGCTATAATCTTTGCCATCTTTGGTGTTACAAGGAGTTTTTTTCAACTGCATCCCACACATAATAATCAAGGGTGTTCTATTCTGGGGAGTTAAGTGAACAGATGTAAGGTGTGATGCAGTCATAGAAATTGTCTGACAGCCATGACTGGGTTCTCCTGCTTGTGTGGCTTGTTGCTAGACATAGGGTCTTCCAGTAGCCACCCTGTTAACCCAGGGCAGCACTACCTTCTCAAGGCACTTTGTGTAGGCCTCCGTGTTGAGTTTGATGCCCTGTGGCAATATGAATGGAGGCATAACGTCATCGTCACTAGTGATTACTCCAACCACCTTTGTAATCACCATTAGACTCCTCCAGCTATTTCCGAATCCTTTGAAGTGTCTACAGGTTGACATCCAAACACTCTGAAATGTTCATATTCCAGTGAAAATGCCAAGCAGTGCAGCATACCGTTTCCAAATTTCTGGCTGAGTGAATTGCGTCATGGTGTTCTTTTTTTCTCACAGATGGTGCCCAGCTGACCCTACTACTATACTGTGCAGTCGACAGAATCACAAACAAACAACATGCACGCACAAAATTAAAAATATAAAGTGGCGACAATTTATTCATCGCACCCTAGAATTTGACTTTTTTTTTTTTTTCTTTTTTTACTTCCAAGGATAACTTTTATCTAACTATATTTGGTGTATTTTGATTTGATAGATTCATGCTCTAAAATGCTGACACAAGTCTGTTTTTTCTCTTTCACAACAGTAAATAAATGTGTAAAGTTGTAGTATAACATAATTAAATATTTGTTCATTTTAATAATTTTTTTATCACTTCAAATAAAATTGATTGAAATTAAACCTGGTTTTAAATGTTGAAAGAAATAATTTTCAGTGATGTATGTTGATCAATTTTAGGAAATAATTTTTATATTCTCTTTGTTTTTATTATTTGATTTTTGTTTTTTTTGTTTTTTCTCTAAATATTGGATGCTGAACTGTCAGTAAAGGATTCTGAATTGTTTTTTTTTTTTCCCTTATTTCTCTGATTTGAATTAAATCTTTCATCTAGAATGATATGTTAATATTCTTTTCTTTTCTTTTTTTTTCCATTGTCAGAAAACAAAAAGAACTAGAAGAAAAATTAATAGAAGAGGAAGTTGCTCGAAGGGTAGAAGAACTGGTTGCTAAGAGAGTAGAGGAGGAGTTAGAAAAGCGTAAAGATGAGATAGAAGCTGAGGTCATGCGTCGAGTGGAGGAGGCTAAACGAATAATGGAAAAACAAATGCTTGAGGAACTGGAAAGACAACGTCAAGCAGAACTAGAGGCACAACGCCAAAAGGAGGTATTGTAAAGTTTCATCTTTTGTAATTTTATTTTACCTTTCCTCTTGTCTTATTTCATTACCACAATCCATGGCAGATATGAAAGTGCACCATCTCTTGTGATCTTGACACTTTGTCAATGATAAGAATAAGTTTCTTCTCGTCCCGCTCTTTTTTTGCTTATCTTCTATCTGGAGCATCTTGGGTTTATAGTTGCTGTCTCTTGCAATTGCTGGATCTTGTCTCTGTTATGAAATCTCCAAAGGCTATACAATTGAGATTTAAAGAAAATGCTTTTCTGATAAGGATTATTAGTGTTACTTTTTAATCCCTTTCACGTAGAGATCAATGACAATCTTTTAATATTTGTTTGTAACTATTCTGAAGTTTTGTTATACTACACTAAATTGATGTCTTTTTTTTTTTTTTTTTTTTTCCCCATTTCACACTAATTATTTTAAAATTTTATTGACTAATTTCCAAATGATATGAGACCTATTAAATTATTTCTTTTTATTTCATGTAATCCTACTATTCAAAATATCATTGTCTATAATAATGATTTTGGCAAAGTAAGATTTTTCTTTTGAAGCCCTTTGGAATTTCTGACTTCGATGACATGGTATCAGTGAGAGAGGTTGATGTAACTGCTCTCTAACTTGTCTCTAGTTAGAAGATAACATTTACTTTAATACTCAACCAATATACTCCTCTCTTAATGTATTTTGTGTGTCATCCAGCCATTTTCTTGAGAGACAAGCAAACTAAATCCCATCTTAGAAAACAATTTTTAAGATTTAAATAGAACACATAAAATTATAACATTGATCAGCTTATGGACCAAATTGCAGATCCTTTGTGTTATTGCTGTTATCTTTATTACATGTGGGAATATAAAACTTTTTCTTTTATTCACTGCATACATTTATTTCTTTATAAATAATCTTTTTGAAAAATAGCATTACAGTTCTAAATGTTATTTATCAAAATAATCTATAAAAACAGCAAATACCTTGGTTAAGAGACATTTTTAATAAATGATTGAGATTATATTTTGGCTATGTCGTGTGTCCATCTGGAATTTCTTTCAGCTATTCTATAAAATAGAAACTAGAATAACTGATCCCCAGTTTTTCTTCTTGCCTTGATGTACTGATCTGTTCTTCTTTATTATTAATGCTACTATAGATAGAATTGCCTTTAGCAACAATATAACTTTGTTTATTGGGAAAATGGCTGGATCAAATGTGTAAATGTCTGAACTTTGACAATCTATCTTCTCTCCTTGACATTATTGACGACATGTGAGGTGAGAAGTATTTGGATTGAAAAATGTAGGTAAAAATAAACATGGAACCCTTTTCTATGTTATAGTAATATCAAGTGTAATCTTGTTTATTTAGTAGGGGAAGTGCATATTGCAGTTAACATTCTACTGTCTCTCTCTCTCTCTCTCTCCTTGCACATAGTGTTCTGTATGCTTAAGAAGTTTCTTTCCATCTGATTTCATTAAGGGACCAGTGATTGAACTGATTCATTTTATTGATATATTTAACATTTTTATTTGTTACATAATCCATGTAAACCATCATTCTCTGCTTGTTAGACCAGTGAAACTTATCTGTGAATTCTTATCACGAAGCTTTTGTTTTCAGTTCCTTTGTTTGCCTTTGGAATTACTCTATATGTAAACGTTTTTGAGGCATGAAGTGCATCATTTGTAAAATTAGACTGCCTAACTGGAATGAGAGCAACATGTTGAGATTTTCTAATATTTAATATATTTTATAGAAACTTGTTACAAATGAGTATGCTGAGATAGCAGAGGTTGTTTGTGTGTCCAGCTCCTGTTTTCAGCTTCATCAGGAGTTTTCTTGTCATATTTTGTGAATGTCAGTTTACATAAAAAAAAAAAAAATCACTGCAAATTTATGAAAGATTTATTTTAAATTTTACTGAAGGATTTATGGTCAAGTTTCTGATTTTATTCAAAGAACATTAAAATATTTCAATTTGTCTTTTTGCTTGAAACCAAAGCCTTGTTAATATTTAAAGATGGAAATTACACAAGAAATGAACTTTGATATACGCTTCTGTGGACATTTTGTAGGTTACAATTATTATCATTGTTGTTTACAAATTTTGAGTGAGTGAAAGCATGATCCATTTTTCCCCTGCTTTGTATAGCTTTAGTTTATCATTAAGCAGTAATAGATTTGTATCACTTTGTAAACACTATATTTGAATTTACATATTATTTTTTTTTTTTTTTTTTTTTTTTTTTTTTACATTTCTACAATTTTTATACAAATTTATTTTGTTAAAATAAAACAGAACCAATGACATTATTATAATTAAAAAAAGAAAAATTGACAGCCTTGATCCAGTGAAATTTACACAATCTGATGGTTACTGCATTTCCTCCACATAATGTGCACTTTCCCTCCCAAAATTTTGCTTAAAAATAAACCTGTGCCTTCTAGTGAGATGACGGTACACCATTAACTTCTGATTAGCAAGTTATAAGTGATAAATTCATTTCTTGTCTAAATATTTACTATTTAGAATAAAACTATATTCTATCAACAATTGCTCAAACATTATTGACATGTTTACAAATTACAAGGAACTTTTAAAAAGAATAATTTAGTGTATATTTAGTAGAAAATGTTATTTAGTAAGAGCATTAAATGCCATATAAGGTGATAGTGAAAAGTTCTCAACCCATCCCTCTTCCCAATATCTGACCAAACATCAGAATTCATTTTGGAAGTCTTTCTCAATTTGGTTTTGAAAACATTCATATATAATAACCACTTTAACAATTGTTAAAGTTTTGTACATCAGATGGATGAAATTAGACCAGTTTTCCATTGTCTGCTTTAAACTCATTTTAGTCATAAATCTTTGCTTGTAGCAGAATTATTTGGCCAAGCAACAAAAATTTATTTTCAGCTATAAATAATATAATTTTAATAAAATATCAGAATATCTGTCCAATATTAAATAATTTATTAATGCTTTGTACACTTCCAGTATATTCATTCTGCCTTTAGCTTGCTTCTTAATGTTTGCTGAAATAATCACAACTCCCACTTAGAGAGTGAAAACTACCTACATGAGGGCTATATTATATAGCATATGGATATGGGATTGTGATAAAGACCAATAGAATGTAATGTTTTATGTAGAACCTCTTTTTCTCTCATAACTTTCCTAACAAAAAACAACAATATAATGGCAGATATATTTTGCATTTTTATTTAAATACATCTAACTTAATCACATGTGGGAAGGTGTGCACATTTGGATACTAGAAATGGCTTGGAAAAAATTTTAAAATTTCTGTAATTTCATGTTGTTTTATCTTGCATTTTTCAAATCCAATCTCCCTCAGTTAAATAGAATTGATACAGAGAGTTTATGCATTTTTTTTATTTTCTTTTTTATTTTCTTCTTAATTTGCACCTTTTTATCTCGTTAATTTTTGTAGCAGAAATGGTGCACTGGAAGTTGCTCTATTAAAATTTCTTTGTATGGCTGTGTGTGTGTGTTTGTTTGCGGGAGTGTCTGTTTAGTAAATACAATATTAGATGTGTTAAATTGAGATAGTATAAATAATTTTAAAAAGTTAGAATCTGCATCAGTTGATACCATCTGTGAAAATGATCCCAATATTGACTTGATATTTTTTAGATTAAATACTTTGCTGGCCTGGCTATATTTGTTAGCTTGTTATCCTTGTCATTTTTGTTGGCATGCTTGAACTTTTTTTGGATATGATTTGTAAAATATTTATATTGGGAGTCAGGTTACAGTTTTTCAGAGTTTTATTTTATTAATTAATTTTTTTTAAATAATTGTATAAGCCCTTTTTGAATATTTTAAGTTAGGGTCTTTTGCAATGGTTATGATACAGATTCTATCTTATCTATTTTATTTCTATTTTCTCTTCTCCCGTGGTCATCCTGGGTCAAGAAACAGCTTTCTTAATTTAAAATTTGTCCTGCTGTAAACATTCAGTGCATTTTAAAATCTAAACTTTGCCAAAAAAAAAAAACTTAGTGAAGAGAATCTGCAGATATTTTGAACAATATCATTAGGTATAAATCCTGTGATATTCTCAAGAGAAGGAAGAAAAAAGAATTTATTTTTATAATGCTGATTATAGCAATTATGCTAATCTATAAAGAAATATACTTATTTTCTTCAAGTGGTTATATATTTTTCTCTTTTTATATCAACACTTGTTATAAATTTATCAACAGTTCTTTTGTCATCTGTAGTGTTTGTGTATTTTCAATTATTTCCACTTCCGTTTTTCTTTCATTATACTCTTTCATCTTATGTCTCTTGTCTGTATGTGGAAATAGTGAGCAAACACTGAGAAGAGGAAATTATCAATCCTTAGTAGTGTATTATAGCAAGGATGGCCTGCACTGCATTGCCCTTATTCTTCTTATAAACTGTCATATAACATTTCACTGAGAGGATAACATAGGAAAATTTGTGAGAGAAATTTGAGCCCATGCCTTTTTTAACAGGAGTTAATACAGTCATGATTCATGCAGTCAGTAAGCAGAATTTAAAACAATTTCATTGATTCCATTTTCTGCTCTTTATTTCTGGGATCATTTTTGCATTCTTAACATGTACAAATATGTATATATGTGATATTTATTAACACATGCCTGCACAGCTTAATTTGTTTTCTACTGCCCACCTCTTTATCTTAAGTACTAATTTTATTTACTGTTTATCATTCCCTGCTTATCATTTGTTGTTTTATCACATCTTTTCAGCATTAAGATTTAGTGCAAAAAGCAATGCACTGTTACTCAGTATTCTTTCTTTTAATTATCAACATGTCATCATTGAAAGTTTGATGTAACCTTTTATATCAGTTTTATTCCTTTATCAGTTTATAAACTCTTTTTAATTTTAGCTATATAAAGAAACAAAACTTATTAAGATTAGTCTTTGAGAAAGAAGAAAAATCTTAAAATGTTAAGATTGATGATGCCAAGAAATTAACCAAACATAAGATTTTGGTTATCACTACATTTTGCTAATTAATTGCATTAGAGTTGGATACAAACAAATCAGGACTAAGAAGTAGGAATTACCTTGTTAAAATAAACTACAACTCTCAATTTTGTGTGTACTAGTTCAAAAATGGTGTATTTTCTCTTACCATCAAGACTAAGCAACATTTTACAAAGACTATAAAGTACTGTTAACAAAATCTTCATGGTTTTTTTTTACTTTCTTTTACGTAAGACTTGAAAAGAAAATTGTTGAATTATAAATAATAGAGTAATTTGTATGAAAATTGAGAGGAAAAAGCCTAATATAAGAAGTTTTTGCTTATGAAGAACAATGCCAGAATATGTTATTTACGTAAGCTATTCATGAGCAATCAATTGCAAACTGCTGCTGCTGCTGTCATATATTTGGCTGGGTAATTTTAGACTGTTAAATATTTTTGAAAAATTTGGGCAGGGGGAGAAATACTTCTGTTGCAACTTAATCAATTAAAGAACGGTGCTCTCTCTCTCTCTCCCCCTCTGCCTTTTTTTTTCTTTTAGAAATATTTTAATACCTAGATAAATTATATGTATGTATTCTGTATTGTGACTCTAATCTCTTGGTTGATTGGAAAGCTGTTTCTTGTCTCTGGAGAGTGAATGTTGTGTGTTCTGCTGCTACTCAACTTTCTGTTGTGAAATGTTCATGTCTCTTTACTCTCAGCTACATAATGCTGGTACTGGTCACTAGGAACATAATCATTAGGTTGCTATGTGGACCGACCTAATGAGCAAATTTCTTTACAGTATTCGGTGATGAAAATTTCCAGTTACAATTAAACCACGCCAATGGATTCCTGCAGAAATTTAAAAGATTGGATTTTCACAACAGCTCAGGAAGTATGTAAAGTTTATGCAGCCTTAATTCATTCTTCCTTAAATATCAGACCAACTCTGCCCTAGCCAGGTATTCAGTTATACCCATCTTTAACTTTTCAATACAGAGGACCACATTTGATTTAAATGTATTTTTTATTATATATATATATATATATATATATATATATATATTGGGTTGGATCTGAAGGAATAGGGGTTTTATTTACAAAATTGCAAAAGGTTTTGCAATCCCATCACTGCTTTGTCCTTTCCAGAAAGTGATTTTTTTTTTATTTTTTTTTTTTTTTTTTTTTTAGAAAAGTTGTTTTTACAAGTAAATAGCAAGACCTAAGAAATAACTTTTAAGTGAAGAAATACTTAAAATATAAAAAAAACAATAATTGAACTTTTTTTTTCTTTTAGGCATTGCTTGTTTGAGTTAACTTGTCAATTTGTTTATTAATATTAATTTGTTTTTGAATGGACTAATTCTTAGCTGGTATTGAATTATCTTTTTTATTGTTTCATTTCTCATAGAAATGATTTTTACAGATAAATATTTGCTATTTATGATGTAGATTAATTTTCAGGCTTTAAAAACTTGCAATTTTCTGACAGTATTGTTATTGTCTCTTGCCCTTTCATTGCTCATTTTTAAAAGATTACTATTTATAGTCCCACTTCCATTTGGTTATTTTTTTCTCTTTATTCAAAGGCTCTTTTTTACTCTTGTTATTTTCCATGCTAACTTCTATTTCATTCTTACTTAGGTGTTATTTCAGTTAGGTCTTTTCAAATTTTTCTAGTAATGGGGCAGTTTTATTGTCAAAATGAGGCTGTAAGATTTGCTGAGATTAGTATTATTAGAAATTCTTCTAAATTGATGGAATCATTCAGCTTGCTGCTTAAGTTTGAACTCATACTAGCAATAAAGTCAGTACAATATTCAGTATTAATAGAATTCATTAAAATTAAGAATTGGTATTGATATGTGACTACATTGGACATTGTAGGAAAACAATTTTCCCTCCAAATCCTCACTTTAGAGATTTGTGGGTGGCCCTGAACCAAATCAGTAAGTAGTGGTGGCTGTATTTGTTAGTCTTTTAGAGCAGGTTCTGCATGTCAGTTACCAATAATCTTTCTACTTTGCGCATTCAATTGCCTCTTCCAACATTTACTTCTTGAACAAGAATTTCAGAACTGAACAATTTGTTTCTTTCTGATTTGTCATGCACATGTTGTGTCCTAAATCTAAAATATAATCAAATGTTGTTTCTCAACTTGCTTAGAGGACTTCTCGTTTTTTTTTTTTTTTTTTTTTTTTTTTTCTTTCTGATAATGCTTTTATGTAAGGGTTTTTCAATGGGATCATTATCTCAACTATCAAATTGTTTATCTTTATATACTTTCACTTTTATCTTTCTCTCTATCTCTCTCTCTCTCTCCTATTCCACCTCATTTTTTGCATCTATTCCCTCAATTTTCTATTGCTGTTAGTATTATTACTACTACTACTACTACTACAGCCACCACTACCAGCTGGCTAATAGTTAGTTTTTAACCAGTGCCTGTAGTTGGGGACTTTTATTGTTGTTTAACTTTGAGAAAACTGGCTGCCGCAGTGAAGTAAACAGTTTGAAGAGGAGGCATTCCTTCCTGGAGAGGATATAATCGTGTCATGTGCTACAGCTGTGTACCTACCTACTGTTGGGTATGTAGAAAGATACTTTTCTATCAATGACGTCACATTGTCTGTCATTTCTCCGTGCCATTTGTTTAAAATATTGTACTTTAGATTTATGTATATATGTATATATACATGCACACGACATACCTAAATGTGTGTGTGTATTTACATATATGTGCATATACTTTTTTTTTTTTTTTTTTTTGTGTGTGTGTGTGCGTGTGTATATATATTGATATATATATGCACACACACATGTATACATACATATAAACTGCCCTCCAAGTGAAAGGCTGGGCCTTTGATATATCCTTGTGTTAAAAAAGTTGAAAAATTAAAATCTTGTACAGAAATCACTAATTTTTTTTTTCATTTTTTTTTTTTTAATTAAAAAATTTAAAACCCTAATATATATTCTAAATAACTTTCCTCAAATTCTAATCATTGTTTTTTTTTTAATAATTAAAGAAATTCAACTGGTATGTATGATTTTCTTATTATTTTCATGTAATATTTTTTTTATTCTTTGTCACTTTTTTCACTTCTCAATGATCCTTCATAAATTTTAAATGTCCAAGTCTGTGCTTTTCTTTTGATGAAAGTTAACACAAGGTGGTTAAATTAATATTCAACTATTTGTTATCCAGATTTTATTCTTGTATATTTTTGACACATAATCTTGCCAAAAGTGAATTCATTTTCATTTAATTCCCTCATGTCAGTTGAACAAATAATTAGACAAAAGTTAATTTGAATTTGATTTTCTTAATATAGTGAGAATTTTGAATTTCAAGACTTGTTTTATGCCAACATGCTCCTCAGTAATATTGACCATGTCTCTTCCGCCTCTTCCACCATATATTTTGGTGGCCAATGGTGGTGGTGGTGGTGGCGGCGGCGGAGGGTGTAGTGGTTGTGGAACTGCCACTGGTACTACTGCTGTCGCTGCTGCTACTGCTACTACTTCTGCAGTCTTGCCGGAGTGTCATTGTTTTCATCCTTTGCTTTTAAAAATTTCAATGCTTGCTGCTGCTGTCGTCATATTAGACATTTTTTTTTTTATCCACAGCTCACCTCTCCTTTTCAACCTCATTATCTTACCCTCTTGTTTATCACCATATGAACACTGTCACCTGTCTTTGTAGGAAGAGGAGCGGAAAAAGCGAGAAGACCTTGAACGCATAATGGAAGAAAATAATAAAAAGATTGAAGAAGCTCAGAGAAAATTAGTAAGTATATTTTTATATATTTTTGCTATTTTTATATTAGACCTGAAATACTTTATAAAATTAGGCTCTTAGAAATCTATTAGAATATGAACAGTGACTTTTAGATGTTTATAACCTCACAAATTTCTTTTAGCAAATTAAGAATCTGTACATAGTTTAATATTTATCTAAAAGTTTAGCTGCTCATCATAAAATGCTGTTTTCATCAGAATTGTTTAATGTATGAATTTATACAGATTATGAAGGAAGATATATACAAATTTCTATATCAGAGTAATAGCAGGTAATTGAATGACAGTGGAGAAAAACTCCTTCATTATGCATTAATCTTCAGCAACCCCCCTCCCCACAAACTCCATAAATAAAAGTATTATTAGACTGAAGAAGTCATTTTGTCATTCAATTATGCACAGATTTTGATGTAAATTCATTTTACTTAATTCTACTCAATAACCTGGAGAAGAATGGATATTTGCAATGCAGTCAGTTTTATTATCACTTTTTTTTCTTTTTTTTTTTAAATAAGGAAGAAATAAAAAAGAAATAAGAATTGATCAACTCTTTTGAGCCAATACAATAAATCTGGTGTTATTTTCTACAATTGATATTTATTCTTAGGTTTTCTATTTTGAGAATATAATCTCTATTTTCTAATGGAATTATTTCCTTTTTGGATATATAGATATTTAGTATTTACTGAGTTGCCCACTGAAATGCGAACAAAAATAGTTTTTGTTCACAACTGTATAAAAAATACATTCTCAGAATTTTTAAACTGTTTACTATATGACCATGTTTATCTAGTATCTATATTGCAATATAAACCCCATCCATATAACTGGATGGCAGGTTAAAAAGAAGGTATGGATTTCTAATAGATTAATACCATCTCCCTCTGTCTTGTTAAATTATAAATGCTCATATATTTTGCTGTGAGTAGTAATACGTAGTTGTTGGTTGGTACTGTAGCTATTATTTTACTTTCTTAATTATCTCCCTTCATCTGGTTTGCAATAAGACTTGTTGGAATTTGTTTTCAGAATTCTATCACATATTAACATACATAATCTTTGAATTCCTTAAGACTGTATACAAAGTTATTTTCAGCTTCAAAATATATTAAAATAAGTTATAAATAAGAAATAAACCTTCACAGTATACTCGGATATTTTTCTCCCTTTTTAGAATAAATTGTGTATCATTATACTTAAACAAGAACTGTTTTTATAAATAGCAAATATGGAAAAAAAATTCTAATATTTTTGCTATTTCAACTTCAACTATCATTGGTTTCCTTGTTTGAAAAGGTAAATGGTGCTCTCTTGCTAAAATGAATCAATTTCCATTTTGACTCATGTCAGTTGAAAAAATAATTTGATAAAATTTAAGCAATTTATTTTTAATATAGTAAGCATTCAAATAACTGGCATAGATAGAAGAGAAAATTAAATAGGAAGGTGAAATAGACTAAATTCCTACCAGGCATTAGTAGTGCAGTAGCTACTTTGTACTAATTGAACAATTGATTTGTCAGTTAATCCCACTTTGAAAGAGGATAGAGTTTGGGAGTAGAGTTAAATCTCTTAAGATCATTTAAAAGTGTTATTTCTTTCAGTAAAATTAAATTTTCTTTTTACTCATCTTAAAGTTTCAGTAAAAAATATTTACATTATTTTCTCCCTATTTGGTAAATGTTTTTTTTTCTTCAGCCATATGAAAAAATTTAGTAAAATTTTTGAATTTGTTATTGTTATAGTGAAACACACCTATTCTATTGTTAATAGACTCTCCCACCTATAATAAGTAGGAGTAGTAGCTAATTCGCTGAGCAAGTTGGTCAGTCAGTCGATGTCGGACGACCATTAGTCGGATACTAAAAGTACCAGCCACCACAACTAGATCTCTGCGTTATTACCTATTATATCAAGTTCCTAATGTTTTGTACGTCGAACCTATTTTAAGACCGACTTAGTACAAATACAAGCCTCCACTGTGAAACAACTCTACAACACTTGGCGACGAGGTATTCAGATTCATACGGAGGAAGAAAAAACATTCGTACTCTACAACAGTTATCTACTTCATTCATTGGATTCAATGTTTGATTTTAAGATTTTGATCTTTGTTCGGATTAAGCTTCCACATGAAATGCAGACATCTCTGGAATGTTTGTATCTTGTAAATTATATTTTTGTTGTAAAGACATTACACAAGATGTTTTAATTATTTCAACAAGAGCAAAACTTAATTGAAGTAATTACTAAATTTAATCTCTATTCTTAATTCTTATCTCATTATGTAAATAAACAACCATATTTCTTTCGTAGCAAATTTATTTTGTACAATAATTTTGATAAGTATATTAAATGATTCTTTGAAAGTTAGTCTTTTGTCTATATGCTTTTTAATTATGGAAAAATTACTCCTAATTTACTGAGCTAGTTGACTAGAAGAAAATGTTCTCCCATTAATAGTGATAGAACAGTATGAATTGTTTGTTTTCTAAAACAATATTAAAACATTTTTATTTCCATTTTTTTCTTGTTCATTATCAAAGTTTCCAAATACTTATGGGATTTAAGTGATTAAAAATAAATTTTAATTCTCACTGCAACTGAATGAGAAAGTTTTGGACAAAACAGATATAATTAAAATGTACAGATCACTTTTGAATGAAAAATAAAAATTCAATCTGTTACTTTACATGAAAATTTTAATATTTTACAGAAAATATTGATATTAACTTCTCGTATTGAAAACTATATTTCAATTTTAAATGGATATAATCTAAAGTAAAATGTTTCTAAAATCCAATTGTTATTTTAAGTTAAAATTCATTGTACATATGGAATACATAAGGAAGAGATTTTGAAATATTTGTGAACATCATGGACAGAACATGTGCTTAGCAAGAATGTTTTGAAGAAAACAGAAACTCCAAGGAAACTGATACTAGCAATCAGAAAGAGATCTCTCAACTTTCTGGGGCACACATAATGAAGAAAGAGATCTCTCAACTTTCTGGGGCACACATAATGAAGAAAGAGAGATATAAAAAAAAATAATGTAGGATTATTTTCTACTTGAAAAATAACATTGGAATTTCATCAAATATACAACAACTTAAGCTGTAAAGAGTATATCTGATTAATCTGTGAGTTACTTAATAAAAATTAACTCGTGGTGAGTTCAAACCCTATTAGACTCTTTCACACTTGTGACTTTTTGCTGGAGAAGGCTAAATTTAGGGAATATTTGGCATTCTCTAGATTAAGAGTGGGTTAAGATATAAGTTTATAAAGTTGCCTTGCTTTAAATTGAAGACATTAATGATTAAACCAACCATTTTTTATTAATTTAAAACCACTTTTTTTTTTTAACTTTTCAACTATATTTAACTTTAATTGTATCAAGTTTGTAAACAATAATTTAATCAAATAATTTCTTGATGGACATTCTAATAACTTGCATACAACTCTGACATTCATTATAAATATTGTGTTGAACAAAAGTGTGGAGCCTTTTTTTTTTTTTTTTTTTAAGTGAATTTCAAATAATAATATTTAGATATTTGTACATAGATTTATTCAAACATCTGTGCCATTTTCTTCTAACTTTTACCATCTTTGAAGCAGCTTCATGATTCTATTCTCCCAAAACATTGCGTCTTTCTGGGTGATGAACTTGTCTGATTATTGCAGGCTTCCAGAGAATTGAAATTCTTCCCATTTAAGAGAATTTTGTAGGGATCAAAATAAGCAGTAATCTGAAGGTGCAAGGTCATGGGGAGTATGACAAGGGTAGATGGATGTCCCATCCATGCTGTACCAATTTCTGCCAGGTCTGATATAGTCCTGATGGAAGATGACACCTTTCTGATTTGCCTTTAATCAGTGCATTTGGGAACTGTATTTGTCTGAATTCACTGTGTCTTATTTTGTGGAAGGAGCTTTTGTAATACACAGTGTGCTTTTCCAATCCTACTAGATACACAGCATCACTTTCTTCAAATGTGGACATGCTTTTGGAGTGGTTAATGATGACTCATTTCACTTTCTTCACAACCTTTTTCACTCAAAAGTTTTGTAAACAGTCCATCTTTCAGTGATTGTTCTTTTCAAAAATGGTTCATTTTTGTGGTGTTTAAGCACAGAATCACAGATGGAAATTTTAAGTTAATTAAATCTTTTCTATTAAAATGTGAGGCACACAAATATTCATGTATCCAAGTCTTTTCAAATGCTTTACAATGCTCATATGTGAGATGTAGAATATCTGTGTACAGTCCCATGTCATGTAAACTGGATTATTTTAAATCGGTGTTTCAGTCTGGTCATCATCATTGATGGAAGCCTTGCCAGAGCATTCTTGGTTTTTAAAATCAAAATTTCCACTAGCAAACCACTTACAAACAGTATGCTCGGCTATGGCACCACTTTCATAAACAGCACATATCTTCTTCTTTTTTTTTTTTTTTTTTTTTATTTGGAGATTGTATTTTATTTTTCCTTTCCAGAAATAATAGAGCATCAAATGATGAAGATGCATCTCCTTTTCTCTCCTTTCAGAATATTTATATATGTTATAAATTTCAGTTATATATGTAAAGAAATCACCTTTTGTTTTAACCTAATATTATGAATTGAATCTTTGTTTTCTATAGAGAATCACTTATTAACAGGAAAGGAGTTTCTTGCCTAGAATAAATACTTTTTTTTTATCATTGCTCTACAGATATATTGATGTAGGTTATTTACTTTATAGTTACGTAGTCACTCTTTGTCTAGAATGCTTGAGAAAAAAAATTGCATTAAATGGTTTTTTTCTCTGAAAATTTGAACCTGGAAATTTGATTGGAGTTTCTAAAAACTTGTTTTAATAATTGATAGGTTCAAAATTAGAGAAATGAATTTAAAGTAAATGAAATGCATAATTTGGTATATATGTGCCTGTCTATTTCTGATAGATTTGATAGAATATCTAAAATTTAAACTTCATTA